AGAGGCATTTCCTATATACTGGCATAGGTTAAGGAGAGACCAACATTTCCTGCAAAGAATCCCATTATGGAAAGAAAGCAGCCATATGGCTTTAAAAAATTTCAGTAAAAGAGCCTTAAAATATATAAAGCAATGTCAAAGATGTCAAACCAACATCACATCTAGTTTGGAAATAATAAGAGTTTAGCAAAACTAAAAGGACTGGCAACAAGGCTGATATAGATGGCATTGGAAGAAAAGTCTGTAGCATGGAGAGCTTCAGTCAGAGGCAAGCTGGGTTGCACCATGCCTGTAATGAAAGGGAGAGGAGGGGAGTATGCCTGGAATACTAGAATGAAACAGCATGTGTTTAAAACTGAAAAGGATGTTTCCTCTTTAGTTCTCTGCTTTTATAAGATCCAAAAGGAAAACTGTAAAACAACCTGGTGAAGGCACAAGTTCAAGGAAGTCCTCATTACTCTTTCCTTGAGTTATGAACTGCTGTTGAATTTCAGGAAAGGGAATGGACAAAGAATGGTTTTTATAACTACTTCAGGGCAGATCTCACCTTCAGAAGTAGTTGACCAAAAACCTGTGACTCCAGAGTTTGTTGTTGTTGTTGGTGGTGGTGGTGGTAGTGGTGGTGGTGGTTGTGGTGTGTATGCACACTCTTTTTCTTCTTATTACAGTTCAGTGTTTTTCTTTTCCTTTTCAGATAATGTTCTATGTTGCATTGGGTTTTTTGATTTGCTGTTTTGAGAAAGAACTTCAAGTTGGGTGGGTAGGGAGGAGGAGGTGAGGATCTAGAGGAATTCGGGATAGGGGACGAACATAATTAAAACATATTTGAATTTAAAATTGTTTTAAATTTAATAAAAATAAGTAAAAATCATCCTTATAGCCAATTAATTATTATTATAAACCCAGTCAATTTCTACAGGGTAAGCTATAAGAGGTTAGCACCCCTTTGATTATGAACTTATATAAACCAATCTTTTATAATTCAAACTAACAAATATAATTTAATTCACACATTAGAGTCTGCTTTCCAACATACTGCATGTAGGATATGCTATTGCAGGTTCTTCATGAACTCAAGCTTGCAAACCATCCAAGCCAGTGACAGAACAATTATAACTTCAAAACAAAGTCTTACAGTTCTAACAGGTCACACAACTAAAATGGTTTAGATGACATGCTACATGTTTAATTCCAGATAGCACTGACATAGCATTCTCTGACTTTTATGGACTGGAAAACGGGTGTTGTCCATCTGAGAAAGGACACATCTTAGAGGAGCCATAGGCTGCTCCAAACGTTCACAGAAGCTGCTGCCATGTGCCAGCTGCCATCTCCCGCAATATTTTTAGGTAGCTCATGTAATAACTGACAACATTTCAGTAAAGCAAAATCAGACATGGCACTCAGAGTGCATTAGTGTCATGATCTTATAATGTCAGGTTCTTTCCTGGGCGTGCATTACTGTTTCAGGATCATGTAGCCGGCAAGGAGTGAGGATCAGGGAAACAGCTATTTAAATGTGAATTGCCCTTAAAGCTGTCAGTGGTAATAGCAGATGGTGAAGGAGATTTTCTTCATTTCAGAAGTTGACAATCTCTAGGGAGAAGCATTTTCAAAGAGTCACTTAAGATGTTGGGAGCCTTTTATTACTACATAGAATTTATCATCCTGTACAAAGTGCACTGCCCCGGGAATGTATCCTCGAGCCTTTATATTACAACAAAACCTTACCAAACTTGGGACCTTAATACTTAGGACTTTAAGGCTTACTTAATCCCCAAACAAAAACCAAGTGATTTATTTTACTTCTTTTCTTTTTGCACCCACTTAAGTCTAGATGTGAAACTATTACCACCATGAGACATGATAATTCAGGATATTGCATATAATTTCATAGTTTCTGCTTGTACAGAATAGGTCATTGCCAAGAGGTCACACTCAATTACACAGTTTGAAACTTGAAAATGTGAGTTTAAATATGCTACTTGAAAGTCTAACATTAACTTGCTATGGAAGGAGAAAATTAAATGGAAAGAAAAAATAAAGATACCCAAATGATAATTTATGCATTCCCATTCATAAATTAAGTGGCGTGTGCATTATTGCATCTTCACTACCCTTATTTAGAGACTAATTTCATATGACCATATAGCTATACTGACTAAGAGTTACTATTCTTACTCAGATGGAACACATTTCTTGCGATGAGTCGGTTTAACTTGAATTACTTTCATATTAAAATTGGAGGAGGATTGCTTTTTAATTGAAAGTGTTGGATATTGGGAGAGGGCATATATTAATTAATTTTCTGTCGCTGTGATAAAACTCCAATCCGAAAGCAACTTATAAAAGGAAGATATGGTTTTGCTTGTGATTCTAGAGGGGTAGGAAGCCATTATGGTGGGGAAGAACAGCCGCAAGCCAGAGGCAGGACGGCAGGAGCGAGGAGCTAAGAGCTCACGTCTTCAAGTGCAAAAATGAAGCAGAGAAAGTGACCTGAGACCAGGCTATACGCTCTCAAAACCTTCCTCCAGCGAGGCCACACCTATTTAGCAGTACCACCAAGGTGAACCAAGTGTTCAAATGCAGGGGGTGGGAGCATTTCTCATTTAAACGACCACGGAGATAGTCAGTTTTCTTTAGCAATGTGAACCCTGACATTGTACCATTGCTCAAGTAAATGGCCCCTTTCCCATGTACATGGAGGCTTAACTAAGTGGATGCAGTGGGTATTAAATTAGAGAGAGAGAGAAAGAGAGCACAAATAACATTGGGAGAGTAAAATACTTAGGATAAGGGTGGAATGGACATGAAAAGAGTGGGGGGTGGTTTGGGTCCAAATGTTTTATATGTGTGTATGAACATTAAACAAACTATTTAAATCACCAAAACCAAATAAATAAGATAAAATATTTTTCAGTGATTACTCGGCAAGGATACCCAACACGGCTATCCCTTTGTATGTGTGAAGCATCTCCCCCACTTGGCTAGTTTGGAAAGACAGAAATTGTTTGTGCTGTGAGTGTTGAAAATACTAAACACTTGTTTCTCCCAGACTTTTCTTCTGCATGTGGTAACATGACTAAGAAAATTCACACAAAATTAGCTCACCTGACTATGAATCATGACAAAATGACAGATGCATAGTCTGTGTCTCTCTGTCTCTGTCTCTCTGTCTGTCTCTGTGTCTCTGTCTCTGTCTCTGTCTCTGTCTCTGTCTCTCTCTCTCTCTCTGTCTCTCTCTCTCTCTCTCTCTCTCTCTCTCTCTGCCTTCCAGAAAGATCAGGCTACTTAGTCAGGCATGGAGTTGCCCACAGATCTGCTGTAAATGAATACCAGGGTAAGTATTATTAATTTGTTATATACAGAAAAAAGCTAGGCTTCTTAATCTCTCCATCCAAGGCATCCAATGTTTTTATTCCTAACTGCTATAGCGTGTCCTTTCACTATGAATACTTGAGTCTTATTTATAGCCTTAAATTTCCTTCCACTTGAACTTCCTTCCTCTTATTTGTTAGGACATACCCTTGTCTTCGGGGCCAGTTCTATTGATGTTCCAGTTGTGTGCTTATCTGTGACGTCTCGCTCAGTCCTCTGAGAACATGCTTTCCCTAATGTTTCCCTCTAATTATTCTGTTATGTTTACTTCAACTTTTGTGTTTTGGATAATGGGCTTTTTCCTTCTTTTTGTCTCAAATTGCCCTTTCTCCATGCTGTCTGATTTGATCACCTTGATTTCTTTTTGTTCTACTAAGTGGGAGAGGACCGGCTCTTCCATTTGAATTGTCTCTTCTCTGTGCCTGTATTAAATCTAAACCTTTAAGTTCTAATCTTTCTCAGAATTTCAGCTATACTGGAAGATTACTCATTAAAACCTGTGGAAATATACACAGACGGATAGTCTTCCATGCTGTCTATTTCCCTACAATGCTACTTCCCTGAAGGAGAGATTAGACTCCATGTGTTTGCACAGATATGAGTCAGCCAACAGACAAACATTAAGCTTTAAGTGGCGGTGTATACTAAGGTCAAACCAAGTAAGCCGCACTCTCTAGATTTCAATTCCATGATGGATTTATATTGGAGTGCTGGTCAGATTTTTGAGTCCTGTTTTTTCTAGCAAGTTAGTTAGCCGGGCAGTGGTGGCGCATGCCTTTAATCCTAGCACTCGGGAGGCAGAGCCAGGCGGATCTCTGTGAGTTGGAGGCCAGCCTAGGCTACCAAGTGAGTTCCAGGAAAGGCGCAAAGCTACATGGAGAAACCCTGTCTTGAAAAACCAAAAAAAAAAAAAAAAAAAAGAAAGGCAAGTTAGTTGAGTTTGTTCACATTCTACTTCTCAGGCTATATTTGCAGAGGTGAAAACGTTTTGGATATTCATACTTGCACCTGGATAAGATGTCAGGGGAACAGTTGTCACTCATGAATATGTTTTCATTAATCATCTTGATTATTTTCCACATCCCAGTCGGTTCCACTGACACTCCCTCTCATGCTGGAGTTATTGTATGGTTCTGCCAACAAAATACCCCATTTGCATTTGGAATAGACTTCTCTGAGGATGCTATGTCTGCTTTTTTTTTTCTGTCAGACTCATCAGTGTTATCAAGCTTATCAAACCACCTAGAAATGTAGCCTCTTATTACATGTCTTGATGTCACCCTTCCTGTTCCATTATAGTAGCTCTCTTCAGTTATTTTTACCATCATTTTGACACTTCTTGCGAAAAAGACAGACAACATAATATGCAGGTGGACCTATTAACTAGCCATAATAGAGGTTGCTTTTTGTGTCATACTAGAAAGCAAGCTCCCAAGGTAACTAGTGTTTTTGAAAATCAAGGTTCCTAGTGTGCAACAGAAAATGGTGTGGGGTCTGTTATAACAGAGGGATCTAGTTGGAACTGAAGGAACCCAAATCTTCCTTCCTTCTTTCCTCCCTTCCTTCCTTTTTTCCTTCTTTTCTTGCTAGTTCCCTTCCCTTATTTCATTCTTTCTTTCTTCTAGGAGAAAGTGTCAATGCAGTCCCATACTACTCCAAATAATGCAGTTGAGTTTCCCACTTTTGTGTAAATCACAGGGGTCTACATGCCCCGAATGCTGTGGATGAGCCTAGCCCTGGGAAAACCACTTACTTGGTCGTGGTATTCCCCTGCCAGATCAGTAGCTCCAAATACATTTTAATGGGCAGTAAGAATCAATAACCATTCCTCAGAAGGAGATAGTTATCTTTCTTATTCTGGCAGTAATGGGAGATACTCCTGGGTCTTGAGAGGACCACTATTCCTCCCCCAAGGCTGTTTACCACACCAGTATCTTTTAAGGTAGTCCAAAACAGAGGAACCTATATCTGCTCTCAAATGACACAGACACATAGAAGCCTACGACCTATGTCCCCCAGTGGAGTTGTGAGGTGTATATGAATGCAGTTTTCTGTGATGATAAGCTCCACTCACACATCCACAGCTATCACTTTACACTGGTTCCAACCACAATGACCTGGGTTGGAACCAGTGTACAATGTTGGTCTGGCCCTCTACTCTAGGCAAAGCCACTTTTAGTTTTACTGTAGATTACTCCTTGTACAGAAAAAAAATATCGGGCTCAAACAGAAAAATTTCAAGAAACAAGACCTAAGCTCTGAATGATGTCCATCTGCACCCTCCCATTGGTGATCCATCCAGTTGAAGAATAACCGTATTACTGAATGATCTCTTCACTGAATCCTGAAAAGGTGTGGGAAGGAGAGAAAGCTCAGCTACAATCAGGGAGTCCTTTCACCGATCTTAGTGCATTAAATCTGGCTTTGAATTGTAATTACCCTGTTTTAATGCCTTTTATTCTCTTATTTCTCAATCTTTTATGAGTTCCCCTGTAGTGCTATATAAAACCTTAGAAATAATTTTAATCAATTAATGTTAAATGTATCTCAAAGCACTTAAGTGTTCTATAACAAAAGGTAACTTTTAAAGCTTGTACTGACAAGCAAAATATATTCACTTTCAATATTTATCCCAGACTATTAAAATTAACATTAGAATATTTCATTTTTTAATCATCATTATACTATATAACATAAATATAAATATGCATTTCTATTGAAATTCTCTCCCTCCTTATTTAAATATAGAGAAATAAATTCTAGTAGGAATTCTGCAACGTTGAAGTCATCTCAAAAAGTTAGGCACTTTATAATAGTGAACTGTAAAAATTAAATATATTATGTGTGATATATTAATTAATCTTACTAATATAATTGATACAGTTTTTGGATTATAGCGTATGGCAACAGGTCATATATTTAAAGATATGTTAAAAAGAAATGCCTTTTAATTCTTTGATTTAATGTTGATATATAGAAATAAAATAATTACAGTGATCAAGAGTATATTTCACAAATAAATCAGTCTGTCCTAAAGTCACAGGATTTTTGGACTCAAGGAAGTATATAATTTGCCTCATATAGCCAACTTGCTTCACACTTGAGGATGTAGAACCAGAGGAATTCATAACTTAACCATGGTAGTTATATGACAAGGAAATGTCTGATTTGTTTGTTTCTCTACATTATTTTATTTCATATTTATGTAGGTTATTTTTCTTCCAAAAGCATTTCAGGGTTTTTCAAAAACTCACCTATAAAAGTCATATTAATCAGTAAGGTAAAATCTTCACTTCTTCCAAAATTTTGATTGGCATTTGCTTGTTCATTGTAGATAGTGATAAGTTTTTGCATTTTTTGTTTGTTTGTTTTTGATTGTAAGAAAATTTTCTCTTTTTTTAAATTATTTTTTTTTACATCCTGACCACAGTTTCCCCTCCCTTCTTTCTTCCCAGTCACTCCCCCTCCCCTCAGACCCCACCCACTCCTCCTCCACTTCCCTTCAGAAAGGGGCAGGCCTTCCGTGGATGTCAACCAAACATGGCATATCAAGTTGCTGTAAGACTAGACACTTCCTCCCCTATTAAGGCTGGATGAGGCAACCCAATAGGAGGAAAGAGTCCCCAAAACAGGTAATAAGTCAGAGATAGCCCCTGCTCCCACTGTTAGGAGTCCCACAAAAAGACCAAGCTACACAACAACTATAACATGTGTGGAGGGCCTAGGTCAGTCCCATGCAGGCTCCTTGGTTGTCGTTCAGTTTCTGTGAGTCCCTATGAGCCTAGATTAGTTGATTCTATGAGTTTTCTTGTGATATCCTTGAACCCTCTGGTTCTTACATACTTCCTCCCCCTCACTTCCACAGGATTCCCAGAGCTCTGCCTAATGTTTGGCTGTCGGTCTGCAGTTGTTTCCATCAGTTGATGGATGGAGCCTCTCTGATGACAATTGGGCTGGACAACAATCTATGAGTATACCAGAATATCATTAAGAATGATTTCATTTCATTGACTTTTTTTTTCCTGCCAGTCAAGTTTGGTCCTTGATCTCTTGGTTGTCCAGCTTCTGGGTCCTGGCCCTCCAGGCACTGTCAAGGGTGGGCTCCCTCTCATGGCATTGGTCTCAAGCTGTACTAGTCACTGGTTGGTCACAACCACAATATCTTCACCACCTTTACCCCAATATATCTTGTAGGTAGGATAAATTGTAGGTCGAAGGTTTTGATGCTGTGTTGGTATCTCAGACTCTCAGTTATTCTTTTAAAAGCTGAAGAATAACCCATTGTGTAAATATAATCACACTTTCCTTATGCATTCTTCAGCTGACAGACATCTAGTTTGTTTCCAGTTTCTAACTATATTATAGATAAAGCTGCTGTGAACATAGTTGAACAAGTATCCTTGTGGTATGATGGGACATTGAAATGTCTGATTCTTTAAAATAAACCTCCAGTGACATCAAAAGGCTTCTTACTTTTATGGTTAATAAATTCAAATGGGTTTCTCTCCCTACTTAGGAAACTAACAATGCAATGAGTGATAATTTATAAAGCCATAACTATAGTGAGACCAAATTTTATAAATAAAAAAAAGAGGGCATGTCAAAATTAGAAACTAGGACATCCTATGTTCTATGAAACAACACAATAGACTTGAATGTAGGACCTTTAGAAAACACTGAGCTCCTCAATGCAACCACTTGTGAATAAAATCTGAGCACTCTGAAAAAGATGCCTCCTGCTGTATGTATTCAGGACTTTTAGCTTTTCAAAAGAATCTATTTACTGAAAGATGAGATGCAGGCATTGTCTCTTCCCATATTGTAGTTTAAGAAGGCAAGATGGATACAAGTGAGCAATTGACTAGTGTGTCCAGATCCAGTAACTGCATCATCACATCCACATATCAGGACCTTGTGATACTACTCATCAGCCTTCACTTGAAGGTCTGTATTTCCAAATGATGGCAAGTATAATTGCCAAGATCACAGTGCTTTACAAATATAATTAACCATCTTAAACTACTTATTGTGAATAATTTTTGTTACTGATGTGATAGCCAAACACTCTTTGTTATTATTATGTAAGCTCCAATGGGAATCATTCTTGGTTTTTACTTTTTTTTCTACATTTAAAGGGGTCTTTGTGTTACATTATAGCTGAATCTTCTTGAGTTTACCTATTAAAGCCTTGATCCAACCAGAAGCACGGCAATCCTCCCCACTGTTTTGTTTACAATCTTCTCCACTCTTTTGTGACCAGCCATATTCATCTGTCACAGGGAAGGCCTCCCAGCTGAGTCTTGGTGTAGAACCTCTCTTTCCTTAGTGAGAGTTTCTCTGAGCTTTGATCCAGAGACATGGAGCTCCAATTACAACTTGAGGGCTTAAAAATAGAATAAGAGAAGTTTTATCTCTAGAGATTTTTTTAATCCCCCACCATTTCATTCACATGTACAGTAAGGACTGAGAGGTAAAACAACAAAGAACTTTCAGGACTCTCATCAAGAAAGAACAGGTATACTACTCTCTTGGCACTGTTTGATATGTTCAAACTTGTCTTAGAGAGAGCCCAGCCATCTCAAGTTATCATTCTATTATCCCTATCATTCTCTTATGAATGCATGTCTGAACCTTTGAAATTCATAATCTGAAATCCTAATCCTCAGTGGTATTCTCATAAGGCATTGGGCTTTTGGTAGTAATTAGGTAGTGAGTGTGGAAACTTTGTGGATGAGATCTCTGCTATTATGAAAAGAGGCAAAGAAGAGCACGGGTCCCTCTTCCTGTTATGATGCAATAAGACTGTTACCTAACAGTAGGAAGTAGGCTCTTACCAAACATGGCATCCATCTGTATCTAGACTCTGGACTCCCAGACACTAGATCTATTACAAACAAATGTCTTTCACTTAAGTCAACCAGTCTACCTTACTTATTCCTAGAAGCCTATGCTCATGCACCTTTCTGATATCACAATTGTTCATGTTTATATGTTTTTTTTCTATTTCCATATGTATGTATTATGGGTGCTGCATATGTGTGTTGACATGTGTTAGGTACACACATTTATAGTTGCATGTGCATATGTGTAACACAGAGACCCAGAGTTGACATCAGGGATCATTGTGCATTACTCCTCTACCTTATTCATTGAAGCAGAGCCTCATAATCACAGCAGGAACTACAATTATGGATAGCCTTACTAGCCAGCTTTCTCTGTGGTTCCTGCATGTCTACTTTCTGCTGCTGGAATTACTGGTGGTCACCATATGCACCTGACAATAGAAGGGTTGGTGGGGGGGATCAAGCTTGCATTGCAAATAACAGCTGAGCCACCTCCTATGACCTGTTTATTTTCATACTCCAAAATAATATTTTAAAAACACATATCAAACATCATATTCAAAATTACAGTGTAGGCCAAGGGCATAAAACAATCCAGAACATTCTTTTATTAACTAAACCTACATTTTTTAAAGACAGACATATACATCATTCATATGTATTTGACTGCTAAAAGTGGCCATTCAACAAGTAAGTGCTGAATGGGAAGGAACAAATATAAGATATGAAAAGTAGCACAAGACTGAACAAATAAACAGTCTTCCCAGTCACTGAGGTGAGCAGCATATCTTCCATTTGATGAGAGGCGTGAGATACCCAACAGGTACTCTCAGGCTATGAAAATGACTCAAGAGAATTACCCCCATAGCCAAGGATTTGTCAGATTCAATAATACATTGTTTTAAAACATTGAACCACAAAAATGACAGTTTCATGTTTTAA